GGGTACACGTGCGCTGTTTTTTGAGGGAAAAACATTTCTCTCTTTACTGGCACAGTGGAACGGCTTGTGCACTTGTGTGACATTAAAAAGAAATGAAGTGGTTAGCTGGTGCTGATCAGATGAGTGCATACGCCTGACTTGGAAAAGGTTCTTCTGTGTGACTGTGTTTGTTTTGTTTGAATCACAGGGAAAAAAAAAAAAGCATTCTTGTCAAAACGTTCTATTATTTTTAACAGGATTTTCTTGCCATTCTTCTCGTGAACTGGAGTCTCAAAAGCAAGCCTAATAGACACTTCAACCTAATCAACAGCACTTATTTCCTGAGCAGGCATCTAATCTCATCTTCRGGTTTATTCTGACTATCCTGGAGGACAGATGAAATGGAAGAAAATGAAATGACACCAGTGGCTTCACACAATCACCATTAACCTGAACGCTTTTTAAGGCATTGTTGAGGAAAAGCTGAGGATTTTCACCTGGGAACTGATGGCACTCAAGGCACTATGTGATCAAGAGACACAAATGTATATTGGACAGATTTTACTGCTGGGGCTTTCTATATGTGATACCTGAGCTGCCAGAAAAGAGTCATTTATGCGAATTCAGTAGATTACCCATATTAAGAATTCTGTGAATTCTGTAAATGTGTGTAAAACACTCAGAAGTCAATGTCTGTCCCTCTTTGCCATATACTCATGTATCCTAATTTTGCTTATGCTATTTGTTTGCTTTGTAGTAAATTATTGATTGYTGATGAATGTTTCTACACAAATTTTATTTCCCATTCCATGTCAGACATGCTATTGTTTTATCTATTTTAATATGCTCACAGTGTTTCACTCTTCTCTCCTGTTTATTCCTCCCAGGCTTTATATTGCCCTTATAGTGAAGGTTTTGTTTATCTAAGAATATAAAAGCAAAGCAATATTTCACAGTTCCAATTCTTTCTTTTTATGTGAGTTTGCTGAAGGCTTGGTTCCAGCTCTGGAGCTGCTGAGTCTTTCTGCACATCAAGCTTTTGGTCTTTACAGTCTGTTTTTACGTGCTCTGATCCTGAAACTCTGTGAGTCTCATTCCCAGATACTTATGGAAAGAGGGCTGTGCCGTACAACAACCTCCAACCACGGCAGACAAACCCACCCCTATACAGTCCCAGTGAATCCAAGAATGTGAAAATGTGCCACTGACTCAGTTTGCCTGCAATGAAACCCTGGTCTGATGCTGAAGCTCCTGGTCGTGATCCTGAGAGCACTGGCCTCATTCTTTTCATTYACTTCATTCTTTTGGATTTCTTTTACCTTCTTTTCTAATGCTTCACTAATTCTGCAAGTTGTGGAGGCTGCAGGTCTGCCCTAGAAGCCCGCGTCAATCTTTGTTCTCATTTCAGTTGCTTTTGGCAGGTTTTGGGTGCTGTTGGTTTGCTCTGTAACGGGATATAACAGCACTCTGATAAGCGCTTCCCACAGAAACCAAAGCGGAGAGCACCAGGCACACATGCTCAATTCAGCCTATAGGTTATGTCAATGAAAATACCACCAGCCAGGCCAGCACTATCCAGGAATCCAAATAACATTCAGGTTTCCCTAACGTGTTTATTGTGCTGCTGTTTTTTAGATAAAGGCTGAGCAACAGCTCTTACTCCTCCAAACATAATAAGTAGTGGAGATAAGGCATGTGCGTAACAACTGCCTCTCCCAGTAAACAAGTTCCTTGGAACTGGGTTATGGCCGGTATCTCTTGGCTCCAGGTTGCAAAGTTTTGTCAGGTGGCCTTAATCTTAGCTCAATGGTAAACTGGTACAGTAGATAATAATCATGTGCCATTAGGTGATGCAATAATATATATAATTATCCAGAAGGCAGCCTGGTGACAGCCTTGTAAAGGGGTCAACCCGCAAGAAGCTTGGAGCTGGCCTGGGCACACAATCGCTGCCTCAGTGGCAGGACTGGCGCTGCACTAGCCATGGTGGCAACTGCTCAGCAATGTCTTCATGCAAAGGATGGGCTCCTCAGGGAGGCACCTACCGCACCAGGGGAAAGAAGCCCCTTGGCTTCCTCTCGAATACAGCAGAGCAAACCAGCCATTTCTCCTTGGCAAGTCCTCCTGCAAGAAGAAATAGCTTTTGGCACCCACACATGCCAAGTGCTGACGGTCTATTTTAACAACTTCTTGGCTTCGATGCAATGGCAAGTGGCTAGCTTCAAAGATGGCAGATTACCTACAGGAGAGGGAACAAATGGGTAAAGAGTGAATAAAAGCTCTAATTTGCAGGCTCCCAAGACAGGAGCTAAGCTCTCATCTTATTGCAATACTTCATTTTTTTTTTGGCCTTAGAGAGCTTTTAAAATAATCAAGACGATTATTTTTTTTAATTGCAACACTGGAATAACTATAAAATATAAATGAAGGCCTAGACAACTGAAGTAGCATAAGCAATGATAGGAACAGTGTGGAAAGCAAACCACAAAGCTAATCTGGTTTTCAGTGTCCGCAAAGTAGGTGCCTCCTCCCCTTGTAGCCACAAAGAAATGGGG